TGACAGCTACCATTTATTAAGCACTTACTGTGTGCCAGGCCCTGTGGACAAGGTCATGCCCGACAGGCATGAGCTCAGCTGGTCCTCACGACGTGTAGGTGGCAAACCTATAATCATCCCCATTTCACAGAGGAAGAGACCGAGGCTCAGAGAGACTCTCACCTCCCTGGAGGTCAGACACATCAAAATCAGGCTCACTCTCGGGGGACAGCCTCGCCATCCAGCCGGATGTCAGATGTCACGTCAGTAGATCAACAAATAAAACTCCCAGATTTGGAGAAAGACCTTCTTGGAGGGATTGATTTGGGTTCTCGAATCACATCTGATGGTTGAACTGATCTACTCTGCATTAGAAAGAACCCGATTTAAGTCCCGGCTCAAGTGCGTGACAGCTGTGTGAATCTGGGCGAGTTTTCTGCTGCCCCGGAGCCTCGGTTTCCTCATCTGGACAATGGGAACAATCCATCTATCCAATCAATAATTGCAAGAACTCAGAGCTCCTGAGGGTGGGTGATTAGCTCAGTAAACATTCCTCTCATTTATCCAGAGTGACAGCAAGTCGTGAACAGCCCGTGGCTGTATGAAGGGGCAGGGGTCACTTATTCCACCGTCTAGCGGCCCCCTCCTTCTCCTGAGCAAACCAATCAATCAAAATTGCTCTCTTGGCCAGAGGACCGGCGGACTGAGTTCAAGGGACTCCCCTCTGACCGTGCCTGTGCCCGCCCGTTCATCACAAGGGGCCTCTGGGCAGAGGAGATTAAAAGCCTTCCGAACCCTCGGCCCTTGATCTCCAGAAACTTCCATTTCCGCTCCGAGTAATAACAATACTCTGTCTCCGGCAGAAAATTGGTGACAGCAAAACCATAAACCACCCCAGGCCACGCTCAGCCCAGTTGGAACCTGAATATGTCTCTGAGATGCAAAGGTTACGAGAGCGCTGACCCGAGCTAAGGAAAGAACACACCACCTCATCACAGCCGCCTCCACCCTGTGGCTAAGAAAAACAAAGCTGCTCCTCTGTCACCCTCCACACCTGCGGATCGGAGAGCAGGAACCTGCCAATCACTCCCCCTTCAAAACCACCCAAAGGGGCGTGAGAGGTGCGCGGGGGAGGCGGAGTGTCAGGGGGAACAGAGCGCCTGCACCTGGCCCACAAAGCCGCAGTGCTGGGGACCAGAGGGGGCCGCCCTGTCCCCAACCCTCCCCCCAGCCAGGGCAGCCCCAGGCGGTGACTTACTTGCGGAGAAGTTGGCCTCCGTGGTGTGGACCGAGTGGACAGGAGGGGTGGACGGCAGAAAGGGCGCGTGTCCCACGAAGAAGGAGCGCAGGGAGCGCTCGGACAGCAGCGGGGAGCGCTGTTGGGAGGGGATGTTCTCGCAGCTGCCCACGCTGCTGTGGATCTTGAGGTTCAAAGGTTTGCTCTTCTTCTTGGCTCTGGGAGGGAGACAGAAGACCACAGGGAAATGTATCCGTCCAGGCTCGGAATTAGGGCCAGGCTCCAGTCTCCCCCTGGAGGGTCCCAACCCCAAGGGGAGACACGAGAAGGTCCACAGCGTCCAGGAAAAGAGAAAGGGGCCGGGTGGAGGGGCACCATGGAGGACAGCTAAGGGGACAAGCCGTCCTTTCCACCCTGCTCCCTCGGGAAGCTCTACAGAGCCCAGGGCCAAGGGCATCTCCCACCTCACCCTCTGAGCCCTCAGGGTCACGCGCCCCCACACTGTCCTCTGGTGTCTGAAGAAGTGGACCCCGGTGCCTTCAGGAGGTCTGTGTCAAGGTGGCCTCTACCCCCATCCGAGACGTCAGTCCCCACGTCACTGCCCTGCATCCATAGGAGAACAACCTGCTTGGGCACACCCCCCACTGGTTCTCAGTCCATCCCCGACCAGGAGCTCTGGATGGTACCCATCTTGGGGGTGCAGAAGGAAGCGGCCCCCCCCCACACTGTGGGCTGGACCCCACGAGGCCCCTCAAGGGCAGCTGCAGGAGATGTGTGGACCCTGGGTGCCCCCAGCCCTCCTCTCTGTGCCCATCAGAGAGCAACCAGGGGGACCCTCGTAGCCTGGTGAACAGGGCCAAACCCTCCAGATTTTGACGGCTGGTTTCACCAACCTCAGGCAAATCATTTTCACGCCGCTAACTTGACTCTTATCCATCAGAGAGTTCTTTGCCAGGATGTGGAGAAGATTAGATAAAATAATCCCTGTAAATTACTCAGTCTGGAGTATCAGGATCCATCCTGATTGTTATCTACCATGGGGATCCCTCGGAGGATTCCTTTGAAGTATGTGCAACTAAAACCATGTGGAAACTTCTAGAAAGTTTGGTCCTAAGCTCAGAGACTCTCTGAGACTTGGGAGATGCGAGATGCTACAAAACCCCCACACCTAGCAAGTGACTCGCACTTGGCAGGAACTTAAATATTCGTTGTATGATCTCGAAACAGCAAGATGAAGAAAGGTACTGAGGATTTTGTCCCAGAACCCCCTCAGCCCGTAGCCTCTGACCGATGGCCGGCTCCAAATCCACTGGACAGAAGACGGAAGAGGGACATCTGGCCTCAACCCTGTAACCCCGATGGGCTGAGTGGGCGTCTGCCCTGTCTACCACAGAGTGCATTCGTGGAAAACCCTGCAAAAAAGGCGAGGTGCACGGAATTGTAAACATCAGGAAATTCATCACAACTCTCTGAAGGAAAGAAACGGTGTGATATCTAAACAGTTAATTAACAGCAATGTGTTACCACTGTTAATATCCAATCAGAAGCCAACTGTCTTACTATCGCCAACTGTCATCAACTATCTTACGAAGGATATTTTTGTACGCACTCAAGGTTGGGCTCAATCAAACATATTCTTCAAATGTCTAAAAATTTCAAAAGGGGGGGGGGTGAGGGGCTTGGTGATTACGCGACGTCCCATGCTCAAATAAATAAAAACGCCAGGGTTTTCAGGATTCTTTTTGAATCCATATTTTCTCTCTGTCCGTCTTCCTTGCAAGCAGATAATTAGCAGGTGAAGTTGTTCCATCTCCAACAGGACCCTTCACACTGAGAAACAGGCGGGGAGGAAATGCTAAAAGCAGAAGCACTCCAGCCAGGTGCTGATGGGCTTGGATCTGCAGCTCAGAGAGGGCATCTCCAGAGGCCTCGACACAAGGTGTGGACATTTAAAAACCCGTCCAGTTTACCAGGCAGGACACTTCATCGTGAGATTAACGACAGCACCAACCGCGGCTACTATTATTGCTACTTTGAATACAGACGGTGTCCCAGGGGCTGAGTCTGGGGCCTTTCAGGTCTCATTCCAAGCCTCACCATGACCTCTAGGAGGATGCCGTGTTATCCTCTCTCCACTGACAAGGACATAGAGAAAGGACAGGTCATAGGGAAAGGGCAGGGGAAGGGTGGCCCGTCTCTCAACTGACTCCAGACCACTGTCCACCCTGAGCCCTCGGTCCCTGACTTCTAGCAGAGTCCCGAAAGGCTCCTCCATCTCTTCTCTTGGAAGACTTCGCCACAACACCCCAGAACCCCATCTAGATATTTCCATTTGTCCTTCTCCCCCTCTCTTGCTCCGAGCCCTCTCAGTTTTGAGGGACTAAAGAGGAAGGGCAAGATGGCAAGATGGCCTCTCAGGGAATGTTCCTACTGTTCCTAATGCCCCACGCACCGTGACCTGGTCCTCTGACCCTCTTACCCTTGGCTTATGAGCCTCCACCACCAGGAACACCCTCTCCTCCTCTTTGTCCTCGACGACTTAGCTCTGATGTCACCTCCTTCCAAGACCCCAGTCCCTCCCAGCATGGACTGGCCACTCTTCCTGCAGGGAGCCCTCTCTAGCGCTCCCTCGTCCCTCCAGCCTGGGTTGACACCACGCGGCCATGGTTATTCCCGGTTCCCCACATCTGTCGGACTGTTGTTTTCTTTTCTATTTTTTTTTCCAAATTGGTTTTTCCAATTTCTCATCTCAGCCCCAGGAAAGCAACAACCTGTAGAGTTCATTTTCCTATCTTTAGCAATCAGCGCAGACACTGGCACATAGTAGGTGGTCGCTGGATGCTTCCTAAATAATCGCTCTGGCACGGGCCACGTGTCACTCATTCCATTTCTATTTCAATCGTAGGCTCCTTGAGGACAGGAACCCGTGGGGTTCCCATGGTTGAACCCCTCAGCCCCTTGTTTGGCACCAGATGAATGAAAAGCACCCCTAAAACTGGCTTGGAAACGCGTCTCCCCGTCCCCAGGAGCTGGTTGAAGGGTGCTTGGTTAAAAACTGCATCCCAACTACCCTCACCCCTCCTGCCCCTCTCCCAAACCCCACCCTGTGCAGCCGGGGGCTGAGCGCCCTCTGGTGGCCAAAGCAAAGCCTCCTTGAATGGAAGAGCCAAGGAAAACTGTTAATTTTAAAACTCAGGCAGCCTAAAAGTCACGCTCTCCAGGAGGCCTGCTGCTCGGCACTTGAAGGAGCCCCAGTGTGCCTGCCTAGTCGCCCCCTCACAGCACCCGGGCTGCCAACCCTGCTTATTATCTCCCGCAGGGGCCTGTGGCAAGGACCAGACAGGTGCTTCCTGTTACAGCAGCTCTCATTGACTGACTCTTCCCTGCCCAGAGTGGAGGAGAGGGGAGCAGGTGGAGGCAGGCAGGGGGGCATCTCATTCCACATGAGCGTCCAGTGGTGAAGATAAAGGAAGCCTCAACCCGCAAAGGAGTGTCATCTAGTGCTTAAGCTCACAGGCTTTGGGATGGGGGAGATTGGGGCTCTAGTCCTGATGGGGACCTCAAGAGAGTGACCTGCCTCTGTGAGCCTCGGTTTCCTCACCTGGCAGTGGGGAGAAGACTTGCCCCTCACCCAGAGGCTACTGTGAGAATGCGGGGCAGCCCACAGGAAGCGCAGGGTCCCCGAGCCTGTGACTGACCTCACCATGACCAGCTGGGACCACGTGTCTTTATAGCTATGGCAACAGCCTTGAAGAGCCGGGAACCGAAGCCGATTCTTGTTTTTCATCTGAAACGCCCAACAACCCCCTCACCACCACCACCACCCTTGATGAGTGAGGAGGACTCAGCCAGACCCAGGGAGGCCACGGTCATCTCCCAGACACCCAAGGGAGCCTCCAGGTGCCCAGCCACCAGGCAGCGAGGCCACACAGGTCCCCGGAGAGAACCAGCTCTGACCAGCAGCCACTTAGCAGAAGGTCCGCGGCGTCCGGGAGGCTGTCTCCCAACTGGTGGCCGCGGATGGAGCAGAGGAGGGGTCGATGGACAGGTGGATGGACATGGAGATGAAAGGGAGAAGGGAAGACAGACAGATGGACGGATAGAGTAAAGAAAGAGAGGACTGTAGGGTGGGAAGAGGGACCGAAGGAAAGAAAGGAGAGCGATGGGAGAGGAAGTGGGGGGATGAGTGGCCAGAGCAGGGTGGAAGGAAGTCCCACCACGGCCCCCCTGCGCCAAGGAGGCTTCCACAGACGAGATGTGCTCCGCCTTCACCATCCCCCCTCGCGCCCCACGCGTGCTGTGCCTGGTGACCGTGAGCTGAGGTTCCCGGGAGGTGCTGCGGGTGTCACTCACAGGACGGCGCCTCCCGCGGTCTGTGCAGAGTGGTACCCGTCCATGGCACCAGTCGCCTATCAGGAACCGGGGCCAAGGACACCCTGGGAGGGGCAGCGACAGCCTCTGGGACATCCGCCCTGGGGGAGCCACAGGGCTTTCCAAATGGGGCCCCAGAGCCAGGAGGAGCGGAGCCTGCACATCCGTGTTGGGCAAAGACACCCCGCTCAGGGGCCGGCGTCCATGCTGAGGAAGGTGGAGTACGCAGAGGCTCTCCCAGAGCTAGGGCAGTGCCGCCCCTTCCCTGATGCCTAATGAGCGTGGGCTAGCCCAGGACTGTTAGGATATTATTAGGGCCATTAAAAGGATCCTGAGAATGACGAGGATCCTTTGTCAGTTGGTTCACGAGGCTCCATTTCCAAGTCACCTTCCTCCCTTCCTCCCCCACCTGAGCTGCTGCCCGACCCGTCCTTCCTAGAATCTCAGGACCACATTTTTCCCCCTTTTTTGGGCCGCTTTTTGCTGTATTGAGATGATGACATTCACACGCATAATTTAACAATCAACCACATGAACGCAAACAATCCGCAGGCGTTCAGCACATCCACCTGTTGCACAACCGCCCCCTCCACCTGGTCAGACATTCATCTCTCCAAAAGGAAGCCTTTCCCCCATTCCACTCACTCCCGGGGCCCCTCCTGGCCAGCCCCCCAAGACCCCCGGTCTGCCTTCTATCCCTGTCGATGGGCTGATTCTGGAGATTTCATGTCGTTGGGATCATAATATGTGAACTACCCAGATGGGGTCGGCACGCTAAGGGAACCTCTGTGTCTGGCCTCTTTCACTGAGCAGAAAAGCGTCCAAGGTCCATCTGTGTGCAGGTTGG